TCTCATTAAAAGAAGGGTTTAGTTATCTTTTAGAGTTCTTGAAAAACTGGTTTTCCAGAAAACGGGGTCTTCAAGAGTCATGGGCCCGAACCCTTTTAGGATTTTCTTAGTCTCACTGAGTCCTACTCATAGCCAAAATATGGAGTCAAACGGCGTCCGACAGTTGGATAGGTTCCCTCGTTAGCTTTTCTTGATCTGCGGGAAGAACTAAAGTTTAAAAGGTTAGATATGCTGTGATCTGCTGAGTAGTAATAGAAAATAAAACATGTCGAAGTCCAATTTCCACTCAGTTAAATTCACTAAGCTTTTAAAGCGTCAAATGTAATATGAGAGGCACGGAAAGGGCGCAATTTTTTGAGTTCGCAAGCTATAGATGGCTTCGTAAATAGTTAAATGAGCAGAGTGAGCGTTATAAAAACCTTTTAGAAAATGGATCTCTGTTTGCTTCTCGCACAACCTGTTTTGGTTCCAAATAAAAGAGTGATAATAAAGAAGTATGCAACTTACATTCGTCATTCCACTTAAAACCAACTTTAACATCTCAACACTCTTTTTGAGTGCCACACCTTGCGGGTCATTATCCTGTCCATCAGTCATAAAAATAAAAGTCGTTGCTTTCTTCGAAGATGAGTTTTGTAAAAGATAATCTTTGATAGCAGTGAAAACGCTGGCAAATGAAGTACCACCATTAGCCTGCAGATCACCCTTTTGTTCAGACAATGTTTTTAGTGTACGTTTTGTATCTGTTTGTGTATTGTATGTGAAGAGACGATAGTCTTTTAGTGTACGCTGATAAATGTCACGCAATACTTCACAGACGTTTTTTATTGGACTGCCTGCCATTGAACCACTTGTGTCAACGCAGCAGATAATTTCACTGCCACCAGTTGTAGCATTAGTGGCTGCTGCTCCTCCAGTTGATCCATTCGGTTGTGACAGCTTAATTTCAATATAGCGCTGTTGATTAGAAAACGGTAGTTTAAAGTACTCAGCCATAACTGGTGTTGAGAAGCAGAAGATAAAACGAAGAATGAAAAGAGTGAGTGAATAAATAGGGTTGTAAAAATCTGCTAAAATAAGAGAAATTGTTACAGACACGTTGCGAAATACTAACAAAAAGAAAGAACAAATAAACACTTTTACCTAACCTGATCTTCGACGAAAAGGTTGACTAAAAGTGTTTATTTGTTCTTTCTTTCTGTTAGTATTTCGCAACGTGTCTGTAGCAATTTCTCTTATCTTAGCATCAAGAGGGAAAGTTCTCATATAAGTGAAATCATTGGAATGTGTTTTCTCTGTTTGTCTAGTATTGCCACATCAAGAGTATTTCGCAACGTGTCTGTAACAGTTTCTCTTATCTTAGCAGATTTTTACAACCCTATTTATTCACTCATTCTTTTCATTCTTCGTTTTCTGCGTCATTGTTAACAAAACTTATTACTCGTTTAAGGTCACATCGATCATCTTTATTTGAATGAAAATTAATTCCTTTTCCATTTTATCCATTTATGAATTCTTTTCGACGATGATTGTAGTGCTAAACCCCTTCCCGTAATAGAAGAACACCTGATGTTCTATTTTCTGCGGCAAGTCGAATTCTAAAACGTGGTCTTCTGTTGCGGTTAAGTTTGTCGCCCGCTAGTAGTTCAGCGGAAGAAGACCATGCTCTTCTATTTGGCTCTCAAGTCACATAACTGCCAGTATCCTTCTAGTAAATTTGCATAGCCTGTACTCGTGTACCGGAATGTTTGAGAGAACGCATACGACGTAATTAATGTTGGTGGTCAGCAGAAACTACTATCCGTTCCAAAATATAAGGCCGGTGGTTAGTTTTTGAATAATTCAAAAGGAATAGAAGACAGAGACTTGCGATTTTCATCATTCGCTAGCCAAGATCTAAAGTCATGTTTTCATAAGTAAAAACGAATTTGAAAAACATTTCACACAGTTGGCATCCAGGCGGAAATTAGGTGAAAAATCGAAGTTGCTCCTAATTCAAATGCAAATAGTGGAAAATGTAGCCCTTTGAAAGGGCTATCGAATGGTATATAAATGTGTATTTTGAAAATGGTTCCTACGACGAGAAATCACGTTACACAAAACCGATTACAGATATCGTTACTACATACGAAATAAAACATTCAAACAGATCATAATGTTCCTCAAACGCTGCTCTATGTATTCTAAAATCGCAAAATCTCGCACATTTTCCAAGGAGGTTTTATGGATTTTCCAAAATCCTAAGGGGTTTTCGCGTATTTCACATTTTTCTCTCTCACCAAAGCAGTTTTTTCGTATAAATAATGCCATATTCGGAATCACCGTGAAAAACTGCATCGAATGATGTATAGCTTTTTAATTTTTCTGCAGAAATATTTTCGATCAAATTGAATTATAGACTTGAAGGCTTGTCCGCAGCAAATTTTGCTTAGGAATTTGGATACTCAACTTAGCAATAGTACACAAGCCTATAAACACATTTTTTATAGGTTTTCGAATATGATCTTTCGAATAGTGAGGTTCTTTTTTGAATCCTATAGAAGTACAAAAACACTTTTTAACAGTCTAAAGTTCTTATATCCATGAATAATTCAAAAGTATGTCTTTGCACTGAATAACAGAGACCTTTTTTTAAAAGTTTATTCTACTCTTATGTTTGTTCACTTATTTATTTCTCTTCAAACGCGGGTTGATAGCGTTACTCCTATTCTAACCCTCTTTGAGACTTCGACATATATCTATTGTCTTAAACGTCGAATTAGAGTACAAAGGAGAAAATATATCCATTTCTCTGCTTTATTTTTTACATTTTTTTTTATTATTAATAATCATGAACTGCCTTATTACTGTTTGTTGCATCTTCCTTCAGCTAGCCCATTTTCAAGAGTATGTAATACAAAAGAAAAGAGTCTGTAAAGACTCTGAATTTCTCTTTTTGTTAAAAGATGCAAGTGCTACAAACTACTACTGGTGCGATGGTAAATCCGGAGTTGATGGCTGTCTCAGTCTAAATGGAACTTCAATAACACAAACTGAATCAGATACTTACTGTTTTGTAAGTTAAAATACTAAAATCTTCACACGTTTACACATTAGGTGTACAAAAATGTTTTGTTTAGGAGTCAGTAGTTTATGATACAATAAATTCTACAGTTCATGCAGTTGAACGTGGTCAAAATAAATGTAGCGACTCGTCGTCTAAGAATCAGCGGTGTCAAAATGAAACGTTAATTGATGGTGTAGAACTTATCACATGTTGCTGTAAATCGGATCGTTTCAATAGTAAGTTAATGGTTTGAATTGATTTATCGTTATAAGGGCTGGTCACAATAACAATGCAGCGATCACATCGATTTCTATTACTGAGGATCATGAAAGTTGGTTTTCTCATGTAGTTTAGCTTGATGATTCCGACAGCAAAAACTGATGTTCTGTTTTTTCCCTAAATATTCAGCTACTCGGAAATGCTTGTATTGAGTTTTAGAGACCGAACGAGGTGATATGACTTGATTTTTTCTTCAAATCTGCTATGAAACGGCTCAGTTTAGTTAAAATAACGAGCTTTTCCCCTTAATGTTTTGGGTGGACTTCTAGACCAGGTATAATATCAGAAAAGTCAGAAAGTACTCTAGAAGCCGACAGTCGATAGCTATCCACTAGCGTTTTCCCGATGAAATAAGTTAGAGCCCGATTTTTAAAGAAGTCCATCACCCAGTTGAGTGAGACGGTCATTCAGCTTTGGTCTATCTTTCGAATGCTAGTTTCTCTAAAACAGAACCGGGTAAAAATCTGTGATTCAAGGTTTTGTCCTAGAAAATATCTCTGTGAGTATGGATAATCAGTCGATATAAATCTATAATTCTCGAAAAAGTAAAGTTTTCTCGAGGAAATTCTCGCAAAATAATATGTTTCCGCCTATTTTAAAATATATGGTTTCGCCTCAATTTTCGTCCGCTCTCAAATCTAGATCATTGAAAGACGTGTAAAAGCCTGCAGCAGAACTCTTATGTCTACTTAGCTCTAAACGTTATTGACCGTCGGTTCTAAGGCACCGCACTACTGTAAAACTTTGCAGTTTTTTCCAGTACAAAACTCGCTCTTTTCAAAGTTCTACTTCTCTCTCGCACTTTTTCCCTATAAAAGACCTTTCATTTTTACGCAAAATGAATTTTTATCGGAGATCCTTGAATTAAGGCGGTTTTTGACGAGTGTAAGAACGGCTACACCAAGAAAAGTGACATGAACTTATACCATTATTTTCATAATTGGATCTTATTGCACCACCAAGTATATGTTTCATTTGTAATGATCAATCAAATGTTGACTGTATGAGATCAGAAAATTTAAATTGTACCAGTAATCCTAACCTGAGACATGTTGTTGTCAAGGAGATTTTTGTAATACTTATTTATACAAGTGATCAATGCAAAAGAAAAGGGTAACTGACATGTAAAATGGGAACTAAGCAAACCCCTTAGTTTTTTCCGGCTCAGGCGTTTCACCGGATTTCTTGAGATTCCCAGAATCGATATTTCTTTAGGTGTGGTAATTCCGAAAAATAAATGGAAACATAGGTGATCGACCACGCTGGATATCGTGGCAATATTTGTTTTGAAATGTCGCACTCTTCAGAGACCAAACCGAAATTGTTCGTTCCTCGCGAACTATACCGCAGATTTTTCTCCAGAAGATTTTTAAACAACGGGAGTTGAAACAGGGTGGCGAATTTTTGAAACAGAGTTGGAGCTGGAGTTGACATTTTTTGAGCAGAATTGGAATTAGAGCTGGATTGCAAATTTAAAAACGGAGTTGGAGTTGAAGTTTGGTGAAGTTACTCAGCCCTCTCACTAATGCGATAGGGCTTTAGTAACGTCTTATAACTATTAACGCGTTAGTCGAATTTATAGTGTTGTAACATTATAAAAATATGAGAAAGTCGGCTTGTAACGCATTGCAATGCAATAAATGTAGGTCATTGAAACATGTGAAGAACTTCTATAGCCTTACAATGAGTTAGAACATGCATGACGCGTTGCAATGTGTTACAGATTAATGCATCATAATGCGATAAGGCTTTAGTAACGTCTTATAACTATTAACGCGTTAGTCGAATTTATAGTGTTGTAACATTATAAAAATATGAGAAAGTCGGTGATAAAAATGCATGATAACACTATAATTTCAATTTCTGGGCAAGTAATGCATTACAATACATTAAGACATGTGTTTTATAAATTTATCGCATTATAATACAATAGAAAAGCTAACACATTACAAGGCATTACGATATGCCTAACGCATTATAATGCAACAAATACGAAAAAAAGATCCTGTGGGTAGAATAATCGAAAATTTATACTTTTGGTAGAAAATCGAAATGTTCACAAGAACTTCCTCTTTTTTCCTCAAAAGTTAGCTCTGTCAATACGGATACGATTAATCAGGTCACTCTCATTTCATTCTCTTGATTTTGGAAGATGCATTTCACAATAAACCTCTATAACAAAAAGCTAAAGCCTCACTGCCTAAATAGCTTAGGTATCCCACAGTGTGCAATTTTCGCTAGGCACGTAGTCTTTTGGCCTGCAAGCTGGAGGAAAACTTCAAAGCCCGTTTTTTATAGTTTATTTAGTGTGCTCTATCTAATGGAATGCGAGTTCTGAAAAAGTTTTCTAAGCGGTTTTCCAGAGATTCCTTTAAAACTTTTAAAAAATTCAGAAACAGTTGCATTGGATAGAGAATCACCGATCACCTATAGAAATAGTGTTTAGACGATTTCATCTGTTGATAATTTCAAATCTTAAAATTTCAGTCAGAAATCTCTATACGCACATGCTACAAATAAAGGAATACACTAAATTCAAAAGTTTCCGCACAAACACGGCTGAATTATACACCATTCGGCGCAGATTTTTGCGCTGATCTCAGATATATTATTAGTTTTTAATTTCAATGTTCCTGAGCTGAGATAACCCGACTTTAGCTCAAAAACCCGT